CGTTGAATCTTATTGCTTCATATTTACTCTTGACATTTTTCTTGGTCACATAGTAAAACCGACCGTAAATAATATTTTTTGAATGAGTAGAACCTATGCTCTGATATCAATTATTAGAAAAATAATTCCCACGAAAATAATATTCACGGTATACAATTGTAATAAATATGGATTACTAAAATACAGTAACCAACAACAATAATAAGAGAAACAAGGACCGAGATTTTTAAGTAACCAACAACAATAATAAGAGAAACAAGGACCGATATTTTTACGTAGAAAATCCTTCTGAATAAGGAAGAAACCACGGCCCTAGAGGAGCAACTGATTTCACCATTAGCAAGACTTTTATAATTTATGGTACCGAATAAAATACTCCAAGATTACTTCACACTAAAAAACAATTAAGCCTCTTTTGATTTTCACAACCCACTACAGTACCACTCAAAATCTCTATTTTTCTCACAAAGTAGTTTTCATCTTACTTTGTAAATTGATCTCTAACTCTCTTTGTTTGGTGTGTGTTCAACTGAAACAAAAGGCTTGCTATTTATAGGAGAGCAATGACTCACATGATATCATTCATGACATTACACCTTGTGTGAGCAAAAGAAATTTGTGTAAACAGAAGAAAAACTTATTTTATGTTTTCCTATACTCAAAGAAGCACACAATTCCCTTCAAACTTCTCACTTAAGATACGGGGTTGGACCCCTACAAACTACAGAAAGCTTGTTCTTTTTGAGTTTTTGAGATAATCTTTGGCTTTTAGAAGCAATGCATAGTTTGGATAATAATGAAAGATTATAAATTGTAGAGTGAGGATTATGCTCGATGGAAGTACTGTGTCATTATCAGACATCCCAGCTAATACAAATTAAACTCTAAAATTACATAAAGAAAAGCTTAACCTATTTTCTTACTCATACAACAAGCTTGTTATCCTATCATAACAAAAAAAATATTATTTTTTTAGTAATTAATTAAATTTTCATACAAAAAGCTTGTTATCCTATCATAGCAAAAATTATTTTTGTAGTAATTAATTAAATTTTCATTACAAGGGAGAAAATCTACAAGTATAACTGGTACTCTGAAGTTGGACATAGAACTTGTAATTATGGCTAATATTTTGGCTAATGGAGTCCATCTCACATAAGTATAAGCATCTTTGCAAAGTGTAGACTTTGTTGGCAATATTTTTTGGGACCCAAAAATATTGCATTGTGTGGTGGACATCATTTGCACAAGTTGTATCTCTTCTTTTACACCTAAGAGGCCAAGACTTGTTTGCCTATAAAAGGGAAGGCCATTAATTCATTTTAGACACACCAACAAGACTTGCGTCTTCATTTCTAGTTTCTTCCTTTTCTCATTTATTAAGACTGTTTTGTATGAGAGTTAAGTATTGGAAAGCACTTGTCCGAACCCTTTCTTTGGAGTGGTCTTGTGAGGTTATTCTCTTAGGGTATTTGGGATTAATTAGAGTATTTACTCTAATTTTATACTCTCTTTTGTACTCTTATTGGTATAGTGAAATTGCTCCTCTCCGCTTGTGGATGTAGATCACTTTGACCGAACCACGATAAATTTGTGTCTTCTTTATATTCTTTAATTGCTGTCGTTATCAACTTCCATTGTCTTTGTTATTGTCATTATACTATTGTTTGGCTAAATTCCGCACTACCCGGGTTCCCAATCCTAACAAATTGGTATCCGATCCTAACAAATTGAGAAATTTAACCGAAGTGCAAACTTCGAAATGTGACAATTAAAGATAAAAGCTATCCTAATTCAAGATGGCTTAGAGTTGGCTTGTTTGTTAGGGGCAAATCCGACTCCATATACAGGTACAATAATTTAGAGTGTCGCAATTGTCATAAGAAAGGTCACATTATCTCTGAATGCTATAAACTGAAAAATAAAGAAAAGCATAAAGAAAGAAAAATGAGCACAAAAATACTGACACCGCTGAAGCTAGTGTAGCAACTGATGAGATTGAGGGAACTATATTTTTAGCAACTGAAACTAGTTTCAGATTAGACAATAAGTGAATTTTAGATTCCAGTTGTTCATATCATATGTGTCCTAGCAAGGGCTTGTTTTCTACATATGATTCCGTTGCAGGTGAAATTGTCCTATTGGGTAACAATGTTACTTATAACGTTATTAGCAAAGGTACAATTCGGATCAGAATGCAAGATGGTGTAGTGAGAACTCTCACCGATGTTAGATATGTTCCCGAGTTTAAGAAAAATCTCATATCTTTGGGCACTTTAGAATTCCTTGGGTGCAAATTTACTGGTGAAGATGGAGTTCTGAAAATTTTTCAAAGTGCTCTTGTGATCATGAAAGCAAACAGATCTGCTTCGTTGTATACTTTATTGGGCTCCACTATTATAGGCCATACTACAGTTTCGGTATCAGACAACTTATCTGATTTTGATGGAATTAAATTTTGACATACGCCCATTGGGGCTTTTGCGGAGAGGGTGGAACAAATTTACTATATCAGCCAAAATTAGACCAAGGTGGAGATTTGTAATTATGGCCAATATTTTGCCTAATGCAGTTCATCTCACATAAGTATAAGCATCTTTGCAAAGTGTAAACTTTGTTGGTAATATTCTTTGGAACCCAAAAATATTATATTGTGTGGCAGACATCATTTGCACAAGTTGTATATCTTCTTTTACACCTAAGAGGCCAAGACATTTTTGCCTATAAAAGGGAAGGCCATTAATTCATTTTAGACACACCAACAAGACTTGAGTCTTCATTTTTTGTTTCTTCTTTTCCTCATTTATTCAGAGTGTTTCCTCATTGGTATCCCAATACTATTTCCTGCTTCTAAATGACTCAACAACTACAAGAAATTACAAAACAACCACGAGCAGTCATGCTATGGGTAGAAATTTAATTTTTGCATCGGCCTAGCTATCCCTGGTTTCAAACTCCCTATGCAATTCACCTCTTAAATTATTTAATTTGATCAACTCTGCACAACTTCGTTGGAAATATTCGATAATTTCTCTCCAACTAGATGTGGTATGCGACGCCTGCCAGAACAATTCTGTAAGTTGTTGCCTGTGAGTTCCTTCCATTTGCATACGTTACTACCCATTATATTTCCTCATTCCATCCCTGGACTGGTTTTCTCACTCCTTTCCAATGAAGTAGTTAGCCCATATTTCTTCTGAGAATCTGCATTTGAAGAACAAATGTTGGTGGTCCTCCACTTCATCCTCACACAGTGGACATATTGGACTGGTTGGAATTTCCTACTTTGTTAGCCTGTCCCTGGTATATAATCTTCTTTAGATTGCTAGATATAGTATGAATACCCATTTTGGGATCCCGTGATTGTTGCATATGGTTCTTCTCCACACTCCACAGTACTTTAGCAAATTCTCCTCTTAATTTGTTGTATACCCGTCCGATAGAATAGCAATCTGCATTTAGCACTTCTTCTTCTCTCAAACCAGCTTATGTTAGGTACTTTGCTTCCTTAAGTATTTTCTGGATTAGCTATGATGCTTGTTTACTCTGTACATTCCAGGGCTTCTTTTCCTTTATGTAATACATGTGCACCCATACAATCCATAATTTGTCTTTCTTCTTGCACAGATTCCATAGATGCTTTAGAATTGCTGCTTTGTTCCATGTGTATATATTAGTGATATTAAGCCCTCCAGCAGATTTTGGCCAGCACAACTTTCCATGCTACTGAGCTTTGTTCTTAGCCTTAGTATTTCATGTCCATAGGAATCTTTTGCAAACTGTTTCAATCTTTTATAAGACCATCTTTGGTAGAGGGGAAATTTGGGACTAGAAGGATTGAATAGCAATGAGTGCACTCTTTATTAGCTATAGCCTCCCTACATAGGATAAGAATTTTGTAGTCCACCATGCCAACCTTCTTAGGATTCTGTCAAAGAGAGGTTGACATTGTCCAGCGGACATTCTTTTTGTACTCAAGCGTACCCCAAGATATCTGAAAGGTGAGCCCTATTGTGAAACCAAGCATTTGGACAATCTCCTATTGAATACTCAGTGGAACCCCTCCAACGTAGATGCAACTTTTACTTTGATTTGCAACTAGGTCTGATGCCTTAGATAATTTTTGGAAGCATTGGTATAACATCTTAACTGACTTCACATCTCCTCTACAGAATAGGAGTAAATCATATGCAAAACTACTGGATTATGTTCATCTTTTCACATCTTGGGTGGAAATTAAAATCAGGTTTATGTTTTAGAGTCTTCAATATTCTTGTCAAATATTCCATTGCCAAGACCAACATGTATGGGTATATATGATCACCCTGTGTCACCTCTCTCTTGGCAGCAAATGGGGGAGTTGCGCTACCATATATAGTTATAGAGTAGGACACAGTCATGACACATGCCATTATCCACCTCACAAATTGTTGTGGAAAGTTCAGACCTGTTAGAATTTGCTCGAGGAACTTCCATTCCAAAGAGTTATATGCTTTCTGCATATTAATGTTTACCATGCACCTAGGTGATACTCTTTTTCTTCCATACTCCTTGACCAACTCATGGCTTAGGATCACACATCTGTTATCATTTTGCCAGGTACAAATGTAACTTGGTTGCAGTACACTACTAGCTCCATAACATGTTGTAGTCTACTAGTGATCATCTTGGAAATTATCTTATATAGAGTTGTGTAACAGGAAATAGGCCTGTATTCCCTTATGGATGATGGAATTTTGACTTTAGGTATTAGAGTGACTGCTGTAGTATTGATTGGTTTATACATCTTGCCAGTGTTAAAGAAATCCAGCTCTGCTTTAGTAACCTCTTCCCCAATTACAGGCGATGCTTTCTTATTCATAAAAAAGAAAGTATTGAAACCATCTCCCCCTTCAAGTCATCTATTCCCTTCAGAGCTAGTACCACATCTTCCTTTGTAAAATGCTTTCTTATTCTTAAAAATGTAAGCATTGAAACCATCTCCCCCTGGGGCCTTCAAGTCATCTATTCCCTTCAGAGCTAGTACCACATCTTCCTTTGTAAAATGCTTTCTTATTCTTAAAAATGTAAGCATTGAAACCATCTCCCCCTGGGGCCTTCAAGTCATCTATTCCCTTCAGAGCTAGTACCACATCTTCCTTTGTAAAAGGCTTTATGAGTTGCAATTGATGTGATCTACTTAGCATTGGCCCTTTTTTAATTATTCCTGGATGTATGGCAGGTAGAGTATCAGCTGCAGATCTAAGTAATTTTTGATAGAACCCACTAATCTCTGCATGAATGTCCTCGGGTCTTTTAATAGTCTCCTCATTCACTGATTTGAGCATCCATATCTGGTTTTGTGCTTTTCTTCCCTTTATATTGGCAAAGAAATCAGTTGTGTTGGAATTCCCCAGTTTGAGCCATTCACTCTAGACTTCTGTCTGTATATACTTTCTTAAGTTATAGTCCATTTCTCTAGTTGCATTCTAACATTCTTTTCTTCCTCAAACAGTTCTGCATTCTGATTTGTACTCATCATCTGTCCTTGTATATGTTTTAGGCTTTGTCTGAGACTATGAATCTTTTTTGTTACCCCTGCAAATTTCTTTTTGTTCAACTGCTTTAACTTCTTTCTGACTTCTTCCAGATTTTGCCATATAATTGTCATTTTCCCATTATACAGGCACCAGTTCTCTTGAACAATTCTTGTAAACTCGGGATCCTCTGCAATACAGTTGTAGAATTTGAAAGGCTTCTTTGTAGTGTCAGCTAGTACTTCAAATTCAATACCAAGTGGGGAGTGATCTGAGATGTAGATGTCCATTACATGTACTTAGCTAGTACTTCAAATTCAATACCAAGTGGGGAGTGATCTGAGATGTAGATGTCCATTACATGTACTTAGCTAGTACTTCAAATTCAATACCAAGTGGGGAGTGATCTGAGATGTAGATGTCCATCACATGTACTTAGCTAGTACTTCAAATTCAATACCAAGTGGGGAGTGATCTGAGATGTAGATGTCCATCACATGTACTTGTAAAGGAGGAATAGTAGTCATCCATTGGGCATTGACAATAGCCCTATGAATTTTGCTAAAACCATGACCATTGATCCATGTGTAGGATACTAGGATCTACCAATTATTGGCATTTCTGTCAAGTTGCAATCATCCATGAAACCTCTGAAATTTGCAGTTTCATCGTCTTGCACCTCACTTCCATGTACCCTATCTTCATTTGTTAGGATAGTGTTGAAATCCTCCATAATCAACCAAGCTTCTTCCATCTGTTCATCTTTCTCCCTCAATTTTGTCCATAAACCTCTTCTATCATGGATTGTGTGCAGTACATAAACAGCTGAGAACTGAAACTTTGTGGCTCTATTGTGATATGCTACTATACCATGTATTAGTTGATCAGATTCTTCCAATTTAGTAAAATTGACCTCATTCCAAACAACCCAAATCCTGCCTCTACCATAGGGTGAAGTATTTGTGCACCAGTTTCAACCTGGTAGTACTTTATTTAAAATCATTATGTCTTTATTTGCTATAACTCTATGTTCTACTATTGTTGTCATCTCAACTTTATTTTCTCTAAGAAGCAAGTTCATCTCCTTGTGCTTAAACACTTTATTAAAACCTCTAAAATTACATGCTACTAAAATCTTGAAGACCAAGGTATAAATATTTCTCCCATTCCGCTACTACTTGTACTACATTCCTCTGTGCCATTTATGGTTGGTCTTAGGTTTCCAGGTTGATCATCTATCAGTATCTTGAAACCATTTGTAACATCCACATGTCTTCCACTTTCTAGGACCTAAGGATTTTTGGCTGCAGATCTACCTTTCACCACTTGCCAATCATCCTTCTCTGCTACTAGGGACTGGGGACTAGTGATGGTTCCCAATTGCGGTTCAGCGAGGAGCTGAGGGCTTCTATCTTCGCGTTCGCGAGGTCATCGGCTTGTTCGCGTAGTTGTGGTGCCTGTGTTCATTGCGTTCCTGAGGGAAGTGCCACGAACGCGAAGCGTATTTTTAACTGAGTTTATTTTTGTGCATCGCGATCGCGAGGGTACAACCACGAACACATAGGGTACCAATGGGCAATGCATATAAGTACTCTATTTCGGACCTTGAGCTTATTTTATTATATTTTGAGTTATGAAGTTCGGATTCGGGCGATTTTGGAGGAAATTTTCACCACGTGGATTGGGGTAAATATTTTAAATTTGATTTTGATTATATTCCATGATTCCATCTTCGAATTTGGCATTTGATTGATGATTCTAAAAGAGAAATTAGAGGTTTTTGTCTAAAACTTTCCTAAAGAGAATTCTTGAGTTTTGAACATCAATTCGGAGTCGGATTTGAGTGAAATATGTATGGTTGGATTGTATTCAAATGGGTTTTCAGAATTTGTGAGTTTTGTCGGGTTCCGGGATGTGGGTCCGGGTTGACTTTGAGTATTTGATTAAAGATCTGATCTTTATCATTTGTATTCGATTTCTATGGCATTATTTGATATTTTGATATGCTTTTGGCTAGTTTCGAGCCGTTTGGAGGTTGATTCGTGCACGATGACACTTTAGTGTATTGATTGACTTGTTTGATGTAAGTGTCTTGCCTAACTTTGTTAGGAAAATTTTTCCTAATAAAATGATATTGTTTGCTACATATGGGGGTGATACATATATGAGGTGACAAACATATATGTATGTGCCAGGGTTAACCATGCTCGTGGTAGATTATACGATTCTTTGTGCCTTGTTGGAATATGTGATTTTCTTGCTTCAGGTTTTACTTGACTTCTATAATAATATGAATATGAATTTTAATGCTAGAAACTATGATTCAACTTATTACAACTTGATTAAATTTGACGGACTCTTTGTGAAACTGTTAATATGCTAAATTCGGTCATCACTATACCAAATCATGAATACATGTCTATGACCGTAATTCTGAGGTACTTGGGTTCCACACTTATGTTGAAAGCATGTTTGAGTTTTTGTCGAAATACTTGAACAATAGGATTCTTGAGGTTTATTGAATTGTTTATTGGTTTGAGAGTTGTGATTGAAGTTCATGTGGTGTATTTGCTTAACCACTTTTATTGATATTATTCATGTTTCCTACCTTACTTGTCATTGATATACATGTGCTTGGTGAGGAAGACTGTAAAGCACGAAGGGTGATGGCGTATCATTTCATTTATATTATCTTGTGAGGAAGGGTGTAAAGCACGAAGGGTGATGCCATGACATTTCATATATATCATTACGCACGAAGGATAATGCCATGTCATTTTATTTACATTATCATGTGAGGAAGAGCATAAAGCACGAAGGATGAATATCGTGCCATTGCATATACATTATCATGTGAGCAAAGAGTAAAGCACGAAGGGTGATGTTGTGCCATTATATATGCATTTGTGTGTTCATTCTAGGTTGTCATTGTTGCACCTATGCTTTCTATGTGACTTCTTGTTGTTGTTGTTGTTATTGTTACGTCTTTGCTCCCTACCTTAATTGTTATTTTGCTATCCATGTTTTCTATCTGTTTATCTGGTCACAATCATGCTTTCCGTCTTGTTTGTTATATTTACATCTATGTCTGCTGTGCTCTTATCTAAACCTTTTACCTTCTTAGATGGTGAAATATATGTCCTCCTACCTTAATTACCATCATTATTTCTGTACTTTCCATCTTGTCAGTTACTATTGCATGTATGCTCTGCCTTGTTCGAAATTACTACATGTGCGCTTTCCACTTTGTTATTACTGTTATCGATATTTTTTTACCTCGTTGGCATTGTTATACATATTCTTGGTGAGGATGAGATAAATGCATGAATGGTGTTGTTGGGCTAATTGATTTGACATACATTTATATATTCGGTGAGGATGAGATAAATTCGCGAAGGGTGTTTCCGTGACATTTGACTTGATATCTTGAATGCATTCCTCATACTATGAAGATTCGTGAATTTACTATATCGTATGGTGGTTATCTCTTTAAGAAAAGGATTGGTTGTGACATGGAGGAAACTGACCGTAATTTCTTTTAGTAATCATTTATTGCTTCGCATATATGTTCTTGTACTCTTGTTTGTTATTTCTTGTATTGGTTTTATTGCAAATTTAACTAAACAAGTTATATTAGTGAGTATTTTTTGATAAAAACCTCGTCACTAATTTACCGAGGTTAGTCAATATACTTACTAAGTACATAGGGTTGGTTGTACTCATGCTACACTTCTGCACCTTGCGTGTAAATCTTGGAGCTGCATAGTTGTGGGAGACGAAGCCTTACATTGAAGACGTACCCGCGTTCCAGATTCAAGCTATCTCGTGTTCATGGTAGCTTAGGTTTGAGTGTCTGTTTATGTCAAATTCAAGCAGATATTGTATTTATTAATCATATCTATTTTGTAAATCTAAATCATAGTGGCTCATGACTTGTACTACCAATCCTTGGGGTAATTGTATTGAATTCAGTTAGAGTTTCTATACACATATATTGTCGATTTCTCAGTATTGTTGTAACTTTTATTGGTTGGTTTACCTAGCGGGTAGGGTTAGGTGTCATCACGACTTATTGGATTTTTGGGTCGTGACAGGAGATTTACCTATAATGGAATTGACTTCAAGCTATCCTCCTTCAAATTAAATTCAGGTGTCCATGGCTTCATTACAATTGGTCACTTAATTATCATATGAGGCCCTTATTTACCCGTAAAATGATACAGTTGAATTTATAGCATGATTTATAGATAAGCGAATTGATATGATCCAATAATAATAAATAAATAAATAAGAACAAAATAAGATAAACCACTGAATTTAAAGGAGATAACAATCCTGACTCAGAATTTAGCCTTTCTAAGGACAAAAGTAAACGCAATGTTTAGGGGTTCAAACTGAGAGTAACAAGATAATAGATTATAGCTTTTGTATGTATAATGTTTTGTGTCCTTATAATAGTGGTTAATCCTACTATTTATAGGCCTACGTAGGGAGACAAGATCCTAAAATCAAGCTCCTCTTGAATGAGAATAAAATCATCAATAATGGGTGCATAACGACTAGCTTTGAATGCAAATATTCTCTATAACAGCTGCTCATTAAATGACATCCGATGTCAAACCTTTGAATCTTTATTGTCAGATATACTTCCTTCGGGATCCATCCAGCACCGGTCACACATTTCGCACCCGGTGTCAGTTATTTGCTGATTCACTTTTTACATGTATTCGGTTCCACATGTCACCTCACCATTCAACCACTTGTTATCAATCAATTTCACCCCATACAGATAGTACCCCTACTTTTCGGTGACACAACTCAGTATTATCGGGAAGTAGATAAGAATTCTTTTCTTGGCACGAAAGTTCCTGAACGTTCTCTAACACTTGAAGGGACACATATCTTCTCGCATTTAATGCCCCGAACACGTGTTGCCCCATGACTCAACAAATATTTTTGCCAGTTTTTGAGGTAATCATGAACATATTTTTTGTCGTCTATAACTTCTTCGCTACTCATCAATTTTACTTCTTCACTTTCATTGCTTTCATAACTCCTTCTTCCTCTTTGAATCCCCTTAGAGATTTTCTGCAACACTCAACCTTCTCAGTAAAACATTTCTTCACGGATTTATAACCACCATGTCTTCTCGTATCTCTTTCACTGGAAACTCTGTCTTTGTTCTTGGTGGAGGTCCAAAGAAAAAAAAACAAAGAGGTTGATGTCGAGTCTGAACCTCCAACCATAAACACCATCATACCCCTTCATCTTAGCACCACATCTGATCTATAGGAACAAAAAACACCTGCAAATTCCACAAGTGGCAGGTTTTGGCATGTCCGTAATTTCCCTTCCCCCATTCATCTTCCTAGTATCCCCATTATCAAGGAGGACTACAATTGCAGCAATATTGATATCTTCGCCCCAGATGTGGAAGAACGAGTTACATACTCCAAGGCGGGGTTCATGTACGTCTATACATACCCCTTCACTTTGGGTCCCTTCACCTTAGGGTTAGGTGAAGGACTTGACCCAAAAATCCTGGAGTTCTGCCACCGGTGCCAGGTTTGCTTGGCACAAGTAGGCCCGTTCATATGGCGTATGGTGGCCTTCCTTTGTCAATTGTGTATCGAGCCTAGGGAAACCCTAACCCTTGCACATATCATAAACCTTTACTCTGCCAAGATTATCCGTGGGGGAGTGATAAACCTTAGCAAGCATGGTCATCATGCTCTCCTCACCTGCTCAACCCGC